GGGGGGGGAGGGTTTGCAGGGCAGCCAGGCCCACAGCGGTGAGCTTCAGCACGCTGGAAGGGTGGCGGGCCACCCCTCCCTTCACTGCCGTCCGCTATCGCTCTAGCCATGAGTGGCAGTGAAGCCTAACTTCCTCTCCCCAGGCCGCTCAGACTCTTGCAGCAGCCTCTCCTGCTGGCTTAGCCCTTGTTTGTAGCCCCTCCACAGCCACTACCCCTGCCACGTTGCCCTAGGCGACAAGTCAGAAGCTGCCAGGCTCCGAGCCACGGCTCTGCTGGCTGTCCATGTCAAGAGCTCTTCTTAGCGGGAGTCAGGTTGGTCTCTGGCTCTTGCCAGAACCACACTGTCTCCAGGAGACAACTTACAGATCCATGCACATGTCTGTGAGTGTCTCTGTACGGGGGCCTGGCTTTTGGGGTGCTCAGCGCAGGGTAGAAGGGGTGTTCTCACTCAGTTATAGGCCATGCCCTCAAAGAATTCACGTGGTCAAGGTCACGACGCACATCCAATGCGTGGCATTGGGACCAGGGGTCTAGAGGCAGAAGTAGTAGCAGCAGAGAGAGAGCCTGTGCCAAAGGGATCAGAGAGAGATTGGAGCTGAGGGCGGGGCTTGTGGATGCTGGCCACTCCCCCTGCTTCTGAGCCTTGGTGATGGTGCAGTTGCATCCCGAAAAGGGGCCTGGTGGCCCTCTGTTCTATACTAGGTGTTTTCATGTGCATTCTTCTCTTAGCCCCCTCTTCTGTTTTCACTGTCCCCATTCATCTTTCAAAATGTAGTCTGCGTGGCAGCTTTTCTGAAAGTCTTCCGTGCCCTTCCTCACCTGTCTGCACCGTTCTCATGCCCTCTGCCCCGTGGAGCAGGATGTGCCCCAGGCTTCACGGCAGTCTGCTGGTCCACTCGTGCCTGTCCCATCAGTGTGGAGTCTCTGAAGGCAGGAAGTCTGGTCTCTCTCCCTCTCCCTCTCCGCAGAGTCCAGGGCAGGATGTAGCGGCCTCTTTGTCCTTTCCGCTTACCTCTTCACCGTCTTCCTTCTCCATGTCTTCTTTCTCAGCTCCTCTCTCTCTCTCTCTCTCTCTCTCTCTCTCTCTTCTTCTTCTTCTTCTTCTTCTTCTTCTTCCTTCCTCTTGCTTTCTTCCCCTTCTTTCTTTGTCCATCCCTCCCTTCTTCTCTTCACCCCTCCTCTATCATCTAGCGGGCGGGTTCTGTTCAGTTCCGGAACTGAGCAGAACTGAACAGAAGCAGAATGGAGAAGGGGGGCGGGGAGAGGGGAGCTCCCTGGGGGGTCCCATCAGCTTTGTGAGAGTATGATGAGGGCTACCACTTGCAGCTTGTGTGTAGACAGCAACGTGACCCCAGTGTCCCTCCCTTTAATTAAACCCAACAATGTCAATAATGCGATAAGCTGAAAAGTCAAATAAATAGCTTTGTATAATAGAGTGAAAGTTGAGTGTGGGCTAAGGACCCAGCTTTGGTCTTTGGAAGCTGAAACAATGGAAACACAACTTCCCCAGGGCTTGGAATGCCTAAGTCATGGTTCTTCCAGCTGCTGAGCAAGCCGAGCATGTTCTGAAGGCAAAGAGCCGAATGAATTTACTTAGCACCTGTCCCTGGAAGGCTCCTTGGATTTTCCCTCCATCTTCTAATTAGACCTTCCAGAACCAGGTCTGTCAGGGGATTGGATGAGCTGGGTAGTGTCTGGCCAGCTTCAATAAATCTTTTAGTTTCTAATGCTCAGAAAAAGCAGGCTCCATTCTGTTGGATTGGCCAAGTAGAATTCAGGAAAAGATACAGAGCTGAGCTGTTTAACACACACACACACACACACACACACACACACACACACACACACACA